TTGTAGAGATTTTTTGTAGCAAGTGATAACCAACATGGCCCAAACGAGCATGTCAAAATGTTGAGCTTGCAATATATCTTGCCTTTTGAACATATGCATCACTTGTCGACGATACATATAATGATTCTTTTCTTTTTCCAGTAAACAAAATATCAGCTGTAATATGCTTCACGTTAAAAAAAAAAAAGTGTACATCATCTGGACCAAAAAGAACATACCTTCCGGAATCTGTTATTTGGGAAACTAAAGCGAGTTTCTTCTTTAAGCCTAGAATATGATAAACATCTTTGAGAAAAATGCCTCCATCATTAGAGTTACCTTCTTTAAAATGTCCTTTTATTACAAGATGTAATAAATTATCAGCTGTCACAAGGATCATTTTCCTACAATGCGGATGAATATTAGATAGTAGATTGATATTTTCCGTTGCATGATAAGAACAACCAGAATCAACAATCCATTCGTTGTTGTAGTCAATGAAGGCATTTTCATCTGTAAGTGTGTCGGTCTGGTGCACAACAGAAGTCACACAGATAGTTACATCCAATGATCCAATTTGTTTTAGGGTCGATCCATTCAATTGTGGTGTCGATAAATATTTCAATCTTCGGCCAAAGCCTACTAAAATTAATCCAACCTTATAACATCATTATCCGAATTTATTGGGTATGAAAACCCAACAAATCTTCATATTGATACCCAATGAACCTGCAAGAAAATAAAACCAAATTTATATTTGCCTATTCAAGGCAATCAAATAAAATTGAAATCAGAGATCTTACGTGTTCTCGAATCCGAAATACATACCATACATGTTCATGTACTCATAAAGTGCTCAGGTCAAGAACCCCGGTACAATATGATATACTTAATAATCAATCAAGAGGACATAATAACACATAATTATAAAATATGTGATAAAGAAACACCATAAGATAATACAAAGATCTTTTTAACGCGTTCAACACGCAGAGAATATCAAATTAACACAAACTTAATCAAGTAAATGGCTAGCATAAACAACCAATTCATAATGACCCCAAATAAAAATCGTTCGACAATTATCCTACCCCATTCAGTGTAGCTCTTATCTAGAGAACACATTTCTCCTCTAATCGTCAACCACGCTCACTAGATTGGTCACTCTTCATGCCTAACCAGTAAACCGCTAAAGATCCTAAGTCCATGAGATGTTTCTTTATCACTACCTCACCTCTTCAACTTAAGTAGATAATGGGTCTCCACCTAATAAAGGAGGCAGAAGTGTCAATCTCTAACTCCACTCGATCAGGATTCTAACAGATAGATGATTCCAAGATATTTAATCACCTCACCTCTCGTAATCCAAATGTCATTCTCCACACCCCCATTACATATCACCAATGGACCCTTTGAAATTTATACTCCACATTACCAGTTGACAAACTTACTGCTAATGCATCTACTAAAGTAAGAAGACACCTAGTGTCAATTCTCACAATAGTAATCCCAACCGCTTTGCATGCAAACATGATACACATAGTAACATGATCACTCTCAAACGCATGCAAATGTACACATCCAACATAATGAAATGCAAAATAAAACAATACGCCAGAATCAAGCAATCATTCATGAAAAACAATTCACAGCAAATGGAGTAATAGAGTTTCTTATCAATACACCTCACTCGGGTCATAACTAGACCCAGTGGCAACATTTGCCTCATCTCTCACCTTTTCTTTTTGCTTACCTTTTTTCTTAGGACGGTCTCTTATAAAATGTCTAGACCTACCACATCTATAACATCGCTTACCATTAGTTTCAGATTTAGACTTCCCAACGTCTACCCTTCTTTTTATTATTCTCACCACTCAAATTACTACTGCCTTGGTTTCCTTCATGACTGTTTTGCTTAAAATGTGTTCTATCCCTCATTATGTGTACATTTTCATTTTCTTATCATGCTTTTTGACTTGGTCTCTTTATCTTTACTCATAAGAAAATCTATCTGTCTCATATTTTTAAGTGTTCCCACCTTACTTAATTACATTCTTTGTAAGTGATAGGCATGGAATTAAGCAAAATTCTAGCCTTATATGTCTCAGACAGTTTCAACACAATTAACAATGTTTTGCATAAGTTTTTTAAACACACCCAAATTGTCATAAAGATTGAAGTTTGTTAGGAGTAGACTTAAACAAATCGAGTCCTCTTAACTTTTTTCATAGTTCTTTTGTGGTTATAAGTTAACCAACTTTTCTCAAAACAGCACCTTACGTGTATAAACTAATTGAAGTGCAAGCAAGCTCACTCTTCTTTTTTTGACAAATTAACATAAAAATTGCCATCTATAACTTTTAAAATCATTTATTGAACCAAAATTTATTTCATTCAGGGTACAAAATGAAAATTGAAGATTTTAAGGGTTCAATTCGATGACAATAGAAGATACAGGATCGAAGTTTCACGAGAAAAAAAGGACTTAATTGAATGAAGAATCGAATTCGAGGACCAAATTGCGCATCTGCCAAAGTTGTAGAACTGTGAAAGAGAATTGTATAGCCGGCGCAAGTGTTAAATTCAATTGGGGTCAAGGCCATAAGCGGTGCCCACAAGCCAAATACCTTCGCGGCCACACATGGTTTTTCTGGGACCATTGGCTGCAATTTCTTTTTTGCGTTAGAACTCCTTTTAGATTGTGATTGTGATGTTACTTTCAATCAATGTTCGAGCTTTATAAGCACAAAACAACATCATTCAAGAAATGACACATGTCATCCTCAATTATTCATAAATTAACACAATCAAAGAGAGGTAAAATTTATAGTTCTTGTGAGACAATTAAGAGTAACTGCAAGTTCATCACGCATTAGAGATTAAATCAAGATTATTGGGGAAACAAGAAGATTTAAGGGATTCTAGAAACAATTAAAGAAATTCAAGAAGTTTAAGACTCGTCCTCTTCTCCTTCATCAATCTAAAATCTGAGTTATATTTTTTTTAATTAAACATCTTTTCTTGTAATTTTGTAATGCTATGCTAGAATTCCTATTAATAAGACATTGATTAACCCAATATGTGTTTTGTTTTGGACGAATGTTACAGGACTTAATGATTTTCAATAAATTAGCTAATAATTGAATTGTTGGATAAAATTTATTGTTATCGAGAGAGACAATAGGATACGAAACACATTATAACAATTATTGTAAAGTCCGATAGGAGATAGACATATACCACTATCCTTTGCATAATTTTTATAAATGTTCTAAAGTTTTTAATGCATGCTTTTATATTCGTATCTTTCATAGAGGTATAAAAAGGTTATATGAGAGGATATATTTAATAATTATCGAGAGCAACTATTAATTAACTTAGGAATATTGATTAACAACAATGTGTATATATTGTCATGTTATTGAAACGAATTAATAAGAGAGATTCGATGTCTTAGTAATCATCTCACCTCATTTTAAAAAAACCCTTAATGATTTGCTCAATACCATAAGTAGTTTAAATAATTAATTGAGATAAATTCGACACAACAAAATTGACCATTTGATTAAGGTTAACATTAATTGATCATAGATTAAGTACGTAAATCTTGTGGGAACGATATCCTACTTATCATTAAGTACATTAATTGGATCCGACAGAACTTTGCGGTCAACTTGAATAAATACCAAAAGAGAGATATGAATTGCCCCTGTTTGAGCCATATTATTTTTTCATTCTTATTTTTCTTCTAATTTTGAACCACACATTTTTCAATAAAATAATATTTTTCATGACATTAAAAAAAATGCATTCTTGGGAAAAAAATGTGCACCAATCAGAATGTCACAAAATAGCCATAAGAAGTAGAAGAATTTGAACTGGTCAAAGTGACCCAGGTTTACTAAGTCAAGTCAAAAATCTCAATGCCTCAATACCAGAAGGAGGAGGAGGAAAAAAAAAAAATTCCACAAGCGGGCACAGGATGACAGACGTGTTTGATTAAAATGCACTAACGATTAAAACGACAAGAAACACTCAACACACACGATTCCTTTATTTTAGTCAATCTGATCTATGCTTTTCTTTTATCTTGATTACTTATATGTCTTGCCGAATTTGATGACCTTCGAATTTCTTCATTTTCACATTTGTGTTTATATGCGTATATATAAAGCAACCTCAATTGCTTCAAACGCATAAATCTACATATTGACAATGTAGTTCGATTGATTATCTTTTTTAGAAGCCCTTTTTCAAACTTCGGAAATGCCAAAAGAGTATCTCAAGTAACTTTTGGAGGAAGCATGTGTTTCTCTCTCTCTCTCTCTCTCTCTCTCTCTCTCTGTATGCCATATATTAATCCATATGAATTCAATCTTTTATATATCGTCCTTGTTTCTTTATTAACAAAAGCCAAATTAGGAGACTTTTGCTCCATGCATGTTAACTAGTGATTAGATGTTTAATTAGGGTTTTGTATAGGGTACCCAGGGTGACTTTATTGGGTCGAAGGCAGTTCACATCTTCACATCCATGTCTATTTCACTGAAGCTCACCGTTCCAAGTGCAAAGGCATATATGTAGAACATGAAGGTAGGGGGACTTCTAAACCAACCCTAATCCTCCAATATAGAACCTTCGTATGTAAAAAGAATTCGACCCCTTTATGAAAAATATGCTGATTAGAGCTTTGAACTAATAAATAAATGAAACGAACGACCTGTTCATTAGGGATGTGTCGAAAAACAAATTTCAAAGAATAAATATGTCAAATCTCCAACAAATATATTTAAACTTAATTATATAGAACCATAGTTGTGAACGATATAACATAACATGTCATCTAATACACAGAATAGTTTTCCTAATCATTCTGAAGTGAATAAAGCCAAACCTTAATGTCTTTAGGATGCATATTCATACCTTAATCAACTTAAAAATTGCAACATGTTTCAAATACACAAAGCCGAAGGATCAAACCTCCACTTAGTAATTCATCTTATTGCATCACATAATAGAATTCACCTTCCTGATGAAGAGCCATCAAATTCTCCCCATTTTTCCAGATAATCTACAGAGCTCGAAGAATTTCCAAAATGTGATTGAAATCCTGGAAGGCCTTGTTCTTGTTGCTGTTGAAATGCTAGTGTAGATACCATCGGTATATTTGTTGAGAGCGGTGAAACAAACGACGTTCCTTCAGGGTAGATGCCGGAGGATCCGTAGTACAAATTATTATTACTATTATTGTCTCTCCCAGGTGTAGTGAGATAACCACCAAACTGAGTAAATCCTTGAACTCTTTCAGGGAAATTGAGCTTAGCTTTGTTTCCTTTAAATTTAAGTGCTGCTTCGTCATATGCTAGAGCTGCAGCCTCTGCAGTTTCGAAAGTTCCAAGCCATACTCTTGCTGCCTTATTAGGATCGCGTATTTCCGCAGCCCACTTACCCCATGGACGCTGCCGGACTCCTCTATAGTGTCTTCTTCTCTGGTTTCCATTTCCTTCAGAGTTCACATGCACAGAATTAATAGTTAAAAGCTTATCTATTCTGTCGAGTACTGTGCATGGAAAAACTCAATGTCAAGTATAATTTCTCTCTGTTGTGCTACATGTATATAATAGTCTCCATATACATGATGTGGTGACATATTATTAAATCATTACGTAACTCCATTATGTAAAAATAGAATTATTCAATTTCTCTTGTAAAAGTAAGCGTTTTTGTACCTTGTTGAACGGGTTGTTGTTGGATTTGCACTCCTGCATTACTTGAATCAGGTTGGGCTAATGGATTTCCAGGCACAGAAGCAAGATTTGTGTCTGTATTTCCCATAACTTGGGAGAGGGCAGAGACTATAGCAGACATGTCATGTTCCGATTGAGCTGAGTAAATTGGAAACGGATCTTCATCTTCATCAGCAGATTCATTGGAAGGGAGAGGCCTCTTTCCATGCCTTCCATCCACTGTTTCACCTCTTTTCATCCCTGAATTATTAATTCTTTAAATGAGCAATAGCACACTTTCAACTATAATGAGTTCGAAGAAGCTCTTGATAGAGATACCATATATATAGGTGCGCGCAGACGAAAATAAACAAGGAAATATAAAAGAAACAAGATAAAGTAGTCAGGAACAAAGAAAAGTTTAGGGTTTGCTCCATAAGCATCTTTTCTCCTTGTAAAAATTTCATTCTTGGTCCCAAATTGTCTCTGAGGTAGTGTTGGTCCTCAACTTTAGAAGTGATCAAGTTGGTCTCCTCCCTTTCACTATAGTTATGAACTCAATCTTCAATGACAGATATTGTTCAAAGCTTTATTAATAGTTAAATATCTTTGTAACTATAAAAGTTAAAAACAAAATCTAGTTTCATAAAATTGGACATACGAGAGTTATGTGATCATTTAATAGAGCTTTTGACGGTTTCTATCATTGATGACTAATTGTGCAACTATATATAAAGTTTATAATGGGAGGTTGAGAATCAATTTACTCATTTTTTAAGGTTAAAAGTTAACTTGCTATTGAAGAAATAGATTGATATTCAACTATTCTGTGTAAGGTGTGAAAATGGATTTTTTTTCCTCTCTCGTGGTCTTGCGAACTGGATGTGTCTTTTTCTTCATAGTAATAATTATGACCGGACTAGTTGAATAGATGATCATAATTACAATTTAGTTCAGTTTTTAGTTTGGCCCTTAAATTTATTTATGTTTATTATATTTTATCTATAAAAATTGTGACTAAGACGGTGTTATATAAAACCTTTTGTAAAATGAATAACGACGAAATTTTACGGCGGTCGACAGAAACTTTTAATCCCTAACTTTTATATTGTGCCAAAGAGAAGCAGTAAAATAATTTTAGTTGCAATATAGACCCAAATATTTACGATCAACAAATTTTCTTCGATACAAAACATTTTACTCATCTAACTAAATTTTTCTCCTCCTAATCTCACTATATTCAATGTTCAATAAGGACCAAAAATTGAAAATGCTATTTAGAAGGGAGATATTCATTCAAAATTTTGCATCCCATTTTATTGGCAGGACTATGTATAGATTTATTTTTGGGCTTTGGAGGCATTTAGTTCTTTTGGTTTAGCGACAAGTGGCGGTCATTCATTGGTGGATTTCCTAACTAATACTATTATGTGTTCATGTTTTATTCACCCGTTTACATGTTCTCCATTTATTTGTTTTAAGTCCTTCTTTGAGCTTCTTTTCACATGTGCGTTGCTAACGATTTCGTGAAACATTATCGAAACAATTCGCCATTTTGGTTGCAAGCTCTTGTATCATGAATGCTCACTTTTGCTCGTGTAGTTTGCGAGCTACTCTTAATGTTCATTGCTTAAAAGATAGTCTCTAAAGTTCGAATTTAATTATTTATACTTAAATCTAGGAGTAATATTTGTGTGTGTGTGATTAGTTTTTTTAGGTTATTATATAGTCCCCATAGTTTGAGCTTAATTATTTATATTTGAGCTACGAACTTGTAATCTCACAATTTTCACAGTTTATTTTGTGCACTAATAATAGTGTGTGATTATATACCATGTCTCCTTAATAATTGCCTTCTGACATTCGTGCATTATATATATATATATATATATATATATATATATAGTATTTAGCCGTTTGTCTCTTCTTTAAAACAAAATGTGCTCCAGTTCTTGTTGGAGACACCACCGTGTTGGAGAAGAAACTTACCAAAATATGTAGCAACAAATCACAAATTTGA